GTAGGTTTAGGGTTGGGTTTGGTGTAGGGGATATTTCCAACACGATACAGCATTAACTTTTAGCGACACTCCTCGGATATTTGAATTATGAACCACCGCAATATGTACCTGAAGCAACGTAATACAAACACAGCAATACGTGCCTATATCAACGTAACAAAAACATGCCAGGGTCACGTATTGAACCCGCGTTTTAGCGCCACTCACTGGACCTTTGAAACTGCCGCGAAATGTGCAGTAAGGTACGTAATAACGGTGCTGCAGATATGTTTTTAGAGGCACGTATTTTGAATGAGCCTGGGTTGAAATAAAAAGATAAAGATATACTGAAGTGTATTTGATTGTGCTAAAGTGGAACTATTGCAAGTATACTTCAGGTACACTTTAAACATTTGGCATTTAAATACTGATATTATTCAAAAATCATACAATCCTCGTCAATAGTACCCCAAATACAGTTTAATTATAATTTTTGTATCAGTAAGTCTCGAGGGATTTGTCAGTAAATATGTTAATAGATTCAAACTATACTTAGTATGAAATAAATGTATTTAAAATATATTATTATTTTACTAGGGAACCACTGTTATTTAAATTGTTACATATACATATTCATATACATATTCATGGTCTTACATTTTCATAAACTGTAATTTAGAAAAAGATGAAAAATTGTATAAACATGTATGTATGTATGTATGTATGGTATAATGTAATCTGTGAATATACCCTGAAGTTGGTTGTTGCTATTATGAAATGGTGGCAAATTGGAAGATGTCAATGTTATATAGATTATAATAATAATAATAGTAATAATATAGCCCCAATTCCAGAGAAGTTGGGACATTTTGTAAAATGCAATAAAATCAAGAATCTGTGATTTGTTCATTCTCTTTAACTTTTATTTAATTGACAAAAGTACAAAGAAAAGATTTCCAAAGTTTTCACTGACCAACATAAATGTATTTTGTAAATATGAACAAATTTAGATTTTGATGGCTGCAACACACTCGAAAAAAGTTGGGAAAGAGGCATGTTTAACAATCAAAACAGTTTAACGTGGATATTCTATAACCTTTTCACTTTTATTTTGCCTCTGTCCCAACTTTTTTGGAATGTGTTGCAGCGGTCAAAAACAAAATTTGTTCATATTTACAAAATACATTTACGTTGGTCAGTGAAAACTTTTCTTTGTACTTTTGTCAATTAAATAAAAGTTAAAGAGAATTAACAAATTACAGATTATTGCATTTTACAAAATGTCCCAACTTCTCTGGAATTGGGGTTGTATATCTCATGATTTTAAATCTGTATTTATGCTCCGAGATCTCAAAGTAAAAAGAGGTGCTAAAGTCTGATTTTGTGGTGGATGTGCTTTAAAATTAAATTAATATACCGGTAATCTTAATTCAAATTACAATGTTTCATTGTTTGGGAATTGAGGATACTAATTGTTAAAGTTTTGCAAGCAAAATTTTTGTCCAGTCTTGCTTGATACAAGACTTCAGAAGCTCAGCAGTCTGTGATCATTGTTGTCTGATTCTCCTTTTCATGACTGGTCATACATTTTCATTTACATTTTTGTCTTGATCTAATAACCATGGACTTCCCATGAAAGACATCATCTTGATGGCAGTATATATCTCTGTACAATCCCAATATATGCCTCCATGTCAATACCTTCGCACATATGCCAGTCACCCATGCACTCATATACCATGACAGACATTTGCTTTTGCCTCTGTCACTGATGAAAGTCTGGATGGTCCCTTTAGTCTTTGGGACTGATAACTCGCCATCCATTTTTCCCAGAAACAAGTTGAAATGTGGACTCATCTGAGTACAGCACACATTTTCACAGTCTTTTTGACTATCTGAGATGAGCTCTGGCCCAGAAAACCCGGCAGCATCGCTGCATAGAATTGATGTATAGCTTTCTCCTAGAGTAACAGATATTCAAGTTGCATTTCTTGATTGCTGCACCCCATACCATGACAGGCTTTTGCTTCTGTCGCTAATGAAAGTCTGGATGGTCCCTTTGGTCTTTGGGACTGAGAACTCGAAATCCATTTTTCCCAGAAACAAGTTGAAATGTGGACTCATCTGAGTACAGCACACATTTTCACAGTCTTTTTGACTATCTGAGATGAGCTCTGGCCCAGAAAACCCGGCAGCATCGCTGCATAGAATTGATGTATAGCTTTCTCCTAGAGTAACAGATATTCAAGTTGCATTTCTTGATGCAGCAGCAGACTGTGGTAAATGACAGTGGTTTTCTGAAGTACTCCTGAGCCCATGTGGCTAT